CAGGTAATGAGACTTGGAATTTTGGCTCCGACAAAAATTTCGATTTTTTTAGCCACTTCAATGTTGAAATTTTTTTGCCAAAAACAAAGTTTTATGTTTGGGAAGCCGCCATTTTGTCAAAAATCAAAATTTTGAAAATCCCACGTGTCATTACCAGCATTTGTCTATTCTTCGTAATCCTTCTGTTTTTTTTTATTTCTGATCATTTGGACCGGAGATATTTTCCTCACCGCAAAACCCTTTTTTGAAGTGGACCCTCGGGAGATCCTCTACAGGACCGACGGAGTCCAAAAAAATTTTTTTAAATGTATTCTAAAACTAGAAAAAATTAGCTATTTTTTTCACATATAACACGTATACATACAATAAATAGCCTCTCCAAATATAATTTTCAAAAAAGCTCATTTTTTTGGCCTCGCAACTGGATATAACCCCTTAAGCCGATCCTGAATTTTATAAATCTCAGCGTATAGACCTTCTCATTGGTGCAAGCATGTTTTTTGAGCTATTACCCCTGAGCTGTTACCCCTATTACAGAAAACGAGGCTTGGGTGGATCGAAACAGGAGGTAGATCTTCTTATAGGACCAAGCTGTGCAGCGTGAATTGGTTGCTGCGGAAGGTCGTATGGATGGCGTTGACGATCTGATCACAGGAGGGTAATCAACACAGGAGGTCCTCGAAATCATGTCTCAAACCACCACCTTGCTTTCACGAGTTGGCTTTAAACTCAGGAAATGGTGTTCCTACGACCGCGATGTCCTTGACGAAATTGCTGACTCGGAATAGGAAACATTCCTGAACTTTGACGATGGCAGCGACTTTACCAAGACACTAGGTCTTGCTTGGGACCATGCAGCAGATGTTTTTCGTTTTTCTTTTTCTTCCATACAGGTCTCTCCAAAGCCATTTAAACGAATGTTGTCCACAACTGCACGGGTTTTCGATCCTCTTGGTCTCGTTGGTCCTTTAGTTGCCAAGGCCCAAATCTTCCTGCAACTAGTCTGGGGAGAAAAGTTGGAGTGGGATGAGAACTTTCCTGAGACACTCAACACATCATGGCTGAAGTTGTCATCTGACATGGGTCGTACCCAGCAAAAGAAGTTTCCTCGACGTGAAAATCACGGATTCTGTAACGCTAGTATCGACGCCTATGGAGGATGCATCTATCTCGTTTAAACAGCTGATGGCAAACGATAAGTGCATCTGTTTTATTCAAAGTCTCGTGTGGCGCCTTTGAAGACTCTTACGGTTACTAAATTGGAGTTGTGCGCTGACTTGTTACTTACGCAACTGATGCGGGTTAAGCAATTGTCCGCGCCAAGACGGGACACTTTTTTATGGCAGAGTAACAGTTAAGAGCAATTCTCTCCAGATGCACTCTCATCTCGCTCTCTCGGTCTGTTAATTGTCTCCACACCGCTCTGCCGCCCTCTCCTGAAAACGTTTCCATTTAGTGTAAAAACTGATATACGAGAATAAAGTGCCTTTTCAAGTTCAACCCAAGGTTTTTTTTATTATTTCCGCGACGCAAGTCATATTTTCGGTCGAGTGCTTATTTGTCCAGAAGGAAGCCACCCCCTACGTACAGCAAAGAACCTTCACGTTTTTAAAAATTTATTGCTAATCGAATATGTTTAATTCAAGAGCTATCCAGTGGCATGAATGTACCGACTGACTGCGATCCAGCCTATACTTTGTCAAGAGGAGCTTTCCCGAGTGAGCTTCTGGAATCTGCCCTTTGGTTTAAAGGCCCAGCGTTTCTTCTCCAGAATCACAATGCGTAGCATCCTTTCATATTACCACGCCAGCATCCAGTTACACGTGCCATTAGACTAGACCTTCATCGAAAGAACTTGCATTCTGGTTCGCGAGCGCTGGTCGCTCACATGCGTCTTCAATGTTGGCAGCAACAGTCAAAGTGGCGCACTCCCAAACCTGCCAAACGAGGTCGTTTCTAATTCCATTTAAATGGCAATTAGCCAGGGTCATGGAATTGGGGCCTGGATCCGATGGAGCCGCTCGTGTGGCAGTGATACGAACTTCAACTGGAATCACTCCAAGGGCTGTCCTCAAGTTGTGCGTGCTGCAGAAAGACCTGGTCGAAAGCCCTGATCTTCCAACGGGGGGAGAATGTTCAGTCATGCCGCAGCCTAAATCCAATTTCTAATTCAAATCGTAAAGTAAACTAAATTCTCGATGTTTGCCTTTGATTTTATATTGTTAAGAGTCGTAAAACTGCCCACAAATGCAGCTGCAGGGGAAACTCCGCATAGCAACAGCGGGAGGAGCTGCATGCGGAAGAGCGGGTACCAAAAAGGGAAATATCGGTACCGCTCTAGACCTTGGACTCCAGTCGGCAAGGGCATCGAGGTCGAACTGTGAATCCGCGGACTTTGGACCTATATAACGGTGAGTCTGCGGACTTCAGACCCGCACAAAGAGAATTAACGGGACCTCGATGCACTTTGGACCCGATCACGTGAGCCGGCTGGAGAGGATAACAGGAGCCGCTGAGGACATAATAGGACGGCGCAAGCGCAACGCGGGGAGTTAAAAAGGAACCGCATCGAAGGACGGTCGTGTCCAAAACCCACGCCAGGACAGTCAAGTGAAAATCGTGCAATAAATCGTTCCAACGTGAGTGGAAACCCAAGTGAATACCAAGTGCCAATATATCCGGATCAAGATCGCCGAGTCAAGAAGCCCAACGATGGTCACGTCTACATAAGCTGAGATCCCGAGGGTGCAAGGTAAGTTCTAGGGCGCGTCTACGAGTCTCAAGACCGACGAAGTTGGTGGAGTCTTGGCAGTGGATGTTGTGCGAAAGGTACCCGGCATCGGTTCACATGAGAGTGAGGACCTGCTGAGGGCCAGGCCGACGAAGATCCAGTGGAGTTGTGCGAAAGGTACCCGGTGTCGGTCCACACGAGAGTGACGACCTGCCGAGGGCCAGGCCGACGATATCCCGCCCGAACTCCGGGGTGGAGCGAAGAGTGGTGACTGCAGGCATCACTGCTTAGCCCCGCTAGGGAGGTTCTGCTTAACATCCTCCAAGTAGTGAGAGACCAGTAGCGAGCCTATTACGCGACCGGTACCCGAAAGACTCGGTAAGGCAGAGGACGCGAAATAGGCGTGCCGCCGCAGGAGTCGACGCGGGAGCCATCACCGGCGTTAACGAGGGCGATATCGTCGCCAGACAGCAGCGTTCCTGATCGAATCAACTTATAATATTGAGTACCAATAAACCAATCGTCCTATTGCTAAATCTAACCCAACTTCTGTGTATTTCTTGGTCTGGATCACGCAACAATAAATCAGCTGAGCTAGCCGCGCATTTACGTAGCGAGCAAAGATGGAAAAGCAGTTCGATACTGTTGGGGTGTAGGCGGCGGGTCTTCCTTCCTTCTCAATTTTGGGTTTGGGGGGTAGAATTAAGAACGCGGGCAGAGTTTCTTTAAACGTTATAAAAAACTTCACTCTTTATTCGACTTCACTTGGACACTTGGAAATTAGAACTAACTTAAGCTACGGGGTGGAAGCTTTTTGAGCCGCTCCGAGAGCGGATTGGAGACCCTTAACAGTGCCAGAGAGCGAGATGCAAGTGATCTGGAAGAACTGCTCTCACGACTGTTAAGACTCCAGGGGCGGTTCAAAAAGGACTGGAAAGCGCCGCTCTGGCGCGAACATTCTCCCCCCCCCCCCTTGCGAGGACGAGCGAAGCAACGGATTAGGCGTATCTGCATGCTCCAGACACGACCCATCCAAATACCGTGCTCTGTGCGACGGGCAGCCCATCTCGTATATTTAGGAACCCGGGCCGGATGACGTCGGGGTATACGTCCGAGCCCAACACCAGCGAGACTGTTGCTGGGCGATGGAATTGCTCATCGGCAAGACGGATATCGTTGAACTGGGCTCGCATATCTTCAGTCAGCGCGCGGATCGGGGTACGGATGCGTAGCCTCGGGCTGATCTTCAGAAGCACCTCGATCTGGAAATCGCCCGTTCTCGACCGGATCGTCGTCGAGCAGACTTCCTCACCCCTCACTGTCGTCGTGGGGAGCTTGAAGGCAGTTGCCAGGGAGCTGTCGATGGTGCTGACGGGAGTGCACGGGTCGATCAATGCGGCCGTCTCGAAGGTGGTGGTCCCAGATTCCAGCAACACGATGGCCGTCGGGAGAATGTGGAGGCTCTGATGCTGCGCTAGAGCCGCTACGGATGGAGTTGCCGCTGGAGCTGGTCGTCGTACCAGTGCCTGCCTTGCTGGTGGTGACGGAGACCGGGAGACTGATCTCGACAGGCGAACGGTCGATGCGCGACGTTGCTCGAAGGGCGATGGACGGCGTTGAGGGGAAGGCGATTGGCGGCGTGGCTGGATGGGCGCTCGTCGAGGACTCCTGGGCATCTCGTGCAGGTGGAGCAGCGTGTGGTGATCCTTCCCGCATTTCATGCATGCGTCGCCACTGCGACATTGCCCTCCGGAGTGCTGATGCGCCAGTCAATTCGCACAATATTTGTTTATGAGAACGGCGCGAAGCCGCTTCTCCGTGCTGAGCCTGAGGAAACGGCTGCACTTCCGTAGCGGATGGATTCCCCGACAGACTCGGCAGCGGTAGGATCGAGTACCTCGTGATCGTCTGTCGTCCAAAGTTTGGGCGCTGCGAGGACGTGGAGCCATGGTATCGATGCTTTAATAAAAAAAATATAAGCGAACTTAGTATCAATTGTGGACGGATTTTGAAGCATAAGGACAGAAGGCACTAGTTTGGAAAAGCGGAGGTTGCCTTGGCCTCCTTAGAAAGAAGTGCTAGAAGGAGGACAGAATGCATTATTTTGGAAAGGCGGAGGTTGCCTTGTCCTCCATAGGAAGAAGTACTAGTTTGTGGATGGGACGTGTTATAGTCCCTCGAGCAGTACGGATCTCAACTACGCGAACTCTACTATCGGCTTCTGGAAGAACCGACACAATCCAATACTTCGATCGGATGAGGCGTACCACTAGTTGGTTGCCGCCATGCAGGGAAATCTGGTGTGAAAAAGGACGAGAAGACGAGCTAACCGACAGTTGTATGGCAGTATAATAGGATGCCGCTCGTCGTACTGGAGGGCCGTTGAGGCCGTAATGCGCCCACATGCCCTTAACAGGCCTTGTTGGTCTTGAAATGGAAACAGGTTGGCTATCGGGCTGGAAACTGGAATCGGACGCTTATCGTTTAGGACTTTGAGCTCTTGGGTATATTCTCCCCGCTGAGCATTTCGAATAAGGACTCTTTCAGCTTCTTGGACCTCTTCCTTGGTGGGTCGCTCAGCCGCATCCCTCGGCATCTTGCGGCAGCGTTGAGTGAACCGTATTACGTACGCAAGGACCCGCAGAGCCTTGTCCAACGCGGAGAAACGTTCCAAAAAATCTTCGGATGGGGCCTTGGCGAAATTGACCTTCACAGCACGCTGCTCTATGTCTGTGACTGGAGGTCCTAGCTCCCGTGTTGGCCACATGTCCTTCGGCTGTTGCAACCAGTCCGGTCCTTCCCACCAGAGTTGGCTATGAACCAGCTCCCGCAGCGAAACGCCTCGACTGGCCAGGTCCGCGGAATTGTGCTCGGATCGCACATGCGCCCAATGCTCAGCGCTCGTCACCTGAGTAATTTTTGTCACCCGGTTGGCGACAAACGTGGTCCAGTGGCATGCCGGCTTGCTTAACCATGCGAGGACGATGGTGGAATCAGTCCAGCAGAAAATGTCGGAATTGGAAATTGGCATATTCGGAAGAATAGCTGCAATCATCTCTGACAACAGCAATGCCCCACACAGCTCGAGCCGTGGAAGGGACACCGTTTTAACAGGGGCGACTCGGGTTTTGGCGGTAAGCAGACGTGTCATAATGTTGTGGCCTACTTCCACCCGCAAGTATATAGCGGCCCCATAAGCCTTCTGAGACGCATCACAAAACCCGTGATGCTCTACCTTCACTCCTGGCTGGAAACCAACCCACCTTGGAGTGCGGATCTGCTCAAGCTCGGAATAGCTGCGCAAAAAATCTTGCCATCTCTGATCCATTTCTGTGGGGATGTTTTCATCCCAGCCCAGCTCCTGCAACCAAATTTCTTGCATAAAGATTTTTGAGCGGACAATAAACGGAGACAGCCATCCGGCTGGGTCAAAAAGCTTCGCAATTTGGGAAAGAACCTCTCTCTTCGTATGAGTGGATTTAATCGACACTGGCGGTGGAACAAAACAGAACTCGTCCGAGGTCGCATTCCACCGAACGCCCAGTGTTTTGGCAAAGCTTTCGGAATGAAGATCGCGAAAGTCCTCGTGGAGTAGATGCTCGTTTGGGATGTCTTCGAGTATGCTCTTCTGGTTGGCCGTCCACTTTCTCAATGGGAACCTGGCGCTGCTGAAAGCGTGGCGAAGTTCGCTGATTGCCAGTCGAGCCTCTTGTATGGAAGTGGTCCCTGCCAGAACGTCGTCTACGTACATAAAGTGACGAATAATATTGCTTGCTGTAGGGAAGTCCTTTTCTACGTCGTCTGCCAATTGTTGGAGTACGCGGAGTGCCAGAAATGGTGCACAGTTAACACCAAAGGTGACTGTTTTTAACTCGAAATCGCTTACTTCTCCTTCTTTATTCCGGAATAAGATTCTCTGGAACGGCGTATGTTTGGGATCGACCCAGATTTGACGGTACATCTTGGTGATATCTGCGCTGAACACGTACTGGAAATAACGCCACTTCAATATCTGAATGGTTAAATCAGATTGTAGGACTGGACCAGCATGAAGAATGTCGTTCAAGCTTGTCCCATTGGATGAAGGGCTAGAAGCATTGAATACCACGCGAAGTTTGGTGGTAGTGCTCTCGGGTTTGATCACCGCGTGGTGTGGCAGGTAATAGTTTGGAGAATCGTACGACGGGGGAATTTCTCTCATGTGACCCAGATCCAAATACTCTTGAATGACTGAGTCATACTGCTCTTTTAATGGAAAGTCTCTCTTCAAACGGTTTTCGTTTCTAAGAAACTGAGCTAGGGCACTGGATCGCGAGTGCCCCAATTGGGACCCGAGATTTTCAGGCTCGCGAAATGGTAAAGATACTACGTATCTCCCGCTTGCGTCTCTAGTGGTCGTTTGGAGAAAATTGTTTTCGCAATAGGAATCGGAGTCCTTTACCCTTTTAGTGGGTATATTCTCCACCTCCCAAAACTTAGTGAGAAGTTTTTCTAAGACTCTGTCACTCGTTTCGGTTATCTGGGTCGTGAAAGCGGATACTCGATTCTGACTAGATGTACTTGAAACTGGGCCGGTAAGCACCCAGCCAAAAATAGTTTCTTGACCTAGGAGAGAGCCACAAATGTTTGTGCGCATGCCGCTCAGCAGAACGGATGGTAACATGTCGGCTCCGATCAGAACATCTATCTGGGAGCTCTCAAGAAATGTAGGATCTGCCAGGGGGATAGCAGGTAAATCACTCAGCGCATCTCGTGGGATTGGATAGGACGGTAGCGTTCCGGCCAATTCAGGCAGAACGTAAGCTGCGGTTTCTAGCTGAAGGCCTGGCTTATTAGGAGCTCGAATCGAAAAATGGCAGAGCCTGGTCGCCTGAGCGGAAATGGTCTTATTTAAGCCCGAAACTTGGGCTTGGATGAGGCGGAATGGCAGCTTAATTAAATTGAACAGGCGTTCCGTAATAAACGTAGCCTCAGAACCCGAGTCTATTAGAGCGCGAGCCCTGTAGTTCGTACCCAAGTGGCAAATGTCAATGATGGCCGTACCTAGTAAAACCGCTCTGGCACCGGTTGCGAAATAATTCTGCACACTGGGCAGATTTTCTGAAGCGTTGGCGGCCCTCTGTGCAGTTGGATTTTGTGGGCTTGCAGAAGAAATATTTCCCGTAGTTGACCCACTGGAATTGGGGTTGCCTTTATGGAGCAACGTATGATGCCGAGCTCGACATGTGAAACAGCTGTGAGTGCTCGTACATTCACGTAGCTGATGGCCTCTCGCGAAACAATTTAGGCACAGCTGTTTCTTCTTGATGTAGTTGGTCCGCGCATCGACAGACATCTGGAGAAAACGCTGGCATAAGCGGACTGGATGATTCTCCTTTGAGCACAGATCGCAATTCTTCGGTTTGGAAACCACTTTAGCTTCGAAGGAGTTGAGCCTCCTGGAGACGGGTTGACTCTTAGTGGTAGAGTGATTGCTGTGACTTGGTTTCATGTCCTCAATCGCCTCTAGCGTTCGGTATCGGTCACCAAGAAACGTGTTCATCTCATCCCAAGTCGGAATGTCGGACTTCGATGAAAGGGACTGCTCCCATAAGGAGAGGGTCAGTTTCGGTAATCTACTGAAGATCTAAAAGATCTTTCAGAGCCTGGCCTGACTCGGAACTGACGGACCCCAAGTTAAAAAGGAGTTTGAGTTGGCTGTTTACTAGCAGTCTCTTATTTTCGAAACGGTCTCGAAGCGCTGCCCATGCTGAGTCGAAACCCTCATTTGTGAGAGGGGACTTGGCTACGATTGCCTTAGCCTCGCCGCTAGTTTTAGCATTGAGATGGAAAAGCTTTTCGACCGGTGTCAACCTAGGATTGTTGACATAGACTGCTGTAAAAAGGTCCCTAAATGTTGGCCATTTTAGGTAATCTCCTTCGAATACTTCTGTATCGCATGGTGGTAACCGGCACCCAGACGAAATATAAGCGGACTGATTAGTGGTGCTCGCTGTCGACTGCTGCGGAGTGGCTTGGTCCATCAGCTCGCTGAGATGAACTGATAGCTCCTCGTACACCGAATAGCAATATTCATACTTTCGATGCAGAGTCGCCAGAATCTCCTCCGCTCCTTCAGTCGTAATGCTGGAAATCGTGTCTAAACACGCTTCGAATTCTTTTTCGGCCTTTTCCAAGAGTGAGCGGACTTGTTCCTTACGGACTTTGCAGGTGTGGACGGACGGAGCTGACGGCCCTGGAGTTTCTATGGTCGCTCTGAAATTGCTCATGCGGTCGGACACCGTTATGAACCGCGCGAGGGCTGCAATTGCAATGTCGTTGCTCATTTTTGCCTGAGAACGAGTTGCCAGCGACTTTACGGACTTGGTCTGGATCTGTGACCTAACCTTAGGCGTGAGCGACAATCGTTTCGGATTGATCGTAGGAACAGACAACTTCTTTTCGCCCTCTTGGGTGTCTAATGAAGTTTCGCTCTTTGCCTTGGTTATTGATGTCGGAACTACTGCGCTTGAGGTGCGCGCGCGAGGAGAAGCGGATAGCGATCGCGTTTTATTTGCAGACGGAACCGATAACTTTGTTTTGTCTTCAGGCATTCCCGAAATCAGATTAACTAGGCAACCCTGGCTGGCTTTGTGGTAATTTGACACTCCGGAAAAGTCTGTACTGGAATGTGGTTCCGCTGTTGCGGATCACCGGGGTGTATTTGAAAGGAAACGGAAGGATGGAATCGATAACTTCCGATCAAATATCGAAAATACTAATAGCGGAATGTCAACGATGTCAATGTATGCGACGCGACAAGAAACGTATGGAATTAATTTGATTTTGATTCAAGAAAACAAACAAAAAAATTAATAAAGCGCAGTGGCTGCTTCGATTCCTCGTGATAGACAATTGCAAGCGGTCCGCTTGTGTTCGTTCTTAGCGTTGCAGCTCCGGTATATTTTTGGAATATGTGGAAACGGAACAGTTGTACCAATTAAAAGTTTTTTTTTTGGAACCACTGCTTTGATGTGCGAGCAAAATATCAAAAAATTCGACCAAAAAATGTTTTGCAAAATATTTGCAGTTGGTTGCTGAGCTGCGGAAATGATCGCAAGGAATATGGAAATAAATACGATTCGCACCGCCACGGCTTACACAAAAAGGATTTATTTATTTATTATTTATTTAATGGATGTGTGCCGACGGCGTGCGAAATAGCGCTGCTGAAATAAATATCATGCAAAAGTTGGAACGGCTTATAGTGTTGATGTGGAATCAGGAAATTTTTCCCATATGTATAATATAATAAATAGTGTTCGGTGGACTCAGGATATTTTTCCCATATGTATAATATAATAAATTGTGTTCGATGGACTCAGGATATTTTTCCAATATGTATAATATAATAAATTGTGTTCGGTGGAATCGGGTTATTTTGCAATATATATAATATATAATAAATTGTTTTTTTATTATATTTTATATTTTATTTATAAATTATAAATGATATTGGCTATGTTGTAAATGTCGCTTTTGAAATCTTTGTTGGGTGTACCGCCTTACGTTACGGGCATATGTGTAAATGTTGCGTTCGAAATGGGTATACCGCCTTACGTTACGGGCATATGTACGTACGTACATTAATAAGCATGCATTTGGGTTATATGATTGTATGTATGGATATGTGTGTATGTATGGATATGTGTGTTTGGATTGATATGTGTGTCACTATAATTATTTGGGCTTTGACATACATACATATGTGCGTGTACATATGTATATATATTTGGATGTCAAAAGCACTTGGAATGAAACACAGTGGGCAACGAAAATATGCTTGCCCCAGCTCACGCACCACTCTTTATTTATATTATTGCTCTTTGATTTTAATGCTGGACGCATGCAATGCACATATGCAGAGCTTTCGTTCCTTGCTTGCTGCTTATGTAAATGCACTTGGAATACACACACTGGAAAATATATTTGCCCACACAAATAATTTTAATTTCGGACTTATTTTTATTTCTCTTTGCACTTTTCACTTGCTGGAAGAGATGTATATGTATGTATGTATGGATATGTGTGTTAGGGGGACTTGGAAATATATTATAATTATATTATATATTTGGACTTTATTCTTTGTAATCTGCTGTAATTTTGGAAATTGTATATAATGTGGACTGTATTTTAGGAATGTACTTTCAAAATGTTTGCTGGGTACGCCGCGAATTGTAGTGTGTAAATGTTTCTCCTTACGTATGTACATATGTTGAGATGGTCAGGCATATGTACGTACATCAATATGCATGCATCTGGATTTTATGTGTTTATGTATGTATGTAAATTGGGAAATATAAGGAGAGCAAAGCCGGAAAATGGCAATACGAAAAAAGAAGCCGGAATATGGCGATCGTATAAAGGTGGAAATAGCAATACGAAAAAAGAAGCCGGAATATGGCGATCGTATAAAGGTGGAAATAGCAATACGAAAAAAGAAGCCGGAATATGGCGATCGTATGCACAAATGGAATTAGCCGATCAGACAGATATAAGAAAATTGGGCTCTTGGGAAATATCTGACTGGTCGGCCACGGAAATATGGAAAATTCGTACTTATCTTGTTGAACTTGAAAAAACTCCGCCGGTGGTCGCTGGTATTTCTTGTAAATAATACGGCTCGAAGGACCAAATGTTGGGGTGTAGGCGGCGGGTCTTCCTTCCTTCTCAATTTTGGGTTTCACTCTTTATTCGACTTCACTTGGACACTTGGAAATTAGAACTAACTTAAGCTACGGGGTGGAAACTTTTTGAGCCGCTCCGAGAGCGGATTGGAGACCCTTATCAGTGCCAGAGAGCGAGATGCAAGTGATCTGGAAGAACTGCTCTCACGACTGTTAAGACTCCAGGGGCGGTTCAAAAAGGACTGGAAAGCGCCGCTCTGGCGCGAACAGATACAATATTTGCCCTGCGCGGCAACACTGTCAATAACTGTCATTGCTAACTGCTTTTTGCACTTTTTACTTGTCGCTGCCTGGCCTTTTGTCCACGGCAAGCCGCTTCATATAGTTTGATTTGGTACTCGCTTCCACAAGGCACGGCCGCAGATCGTCTGCCTATTCCTTTCGTCTATATACTTTCGCGACTAAACAGGCACAGACAAATCGGTCTGCCGACCCAACGTACTTTCGCTTGTTAAACAGGCACAGACAAATCGGTCTGCCTGCCTGACCAACCCTAAACAAACAATAACTTTGTACATTTGAGGCCTTGGTGCCAGTTAAATAAATAAGTGTACATTTAAACGAACATTTTTGCGGTTTATTTTAATTGGGCCCCACCATAGGTAATGGTAAAGCTCTTTGACCCAACAGAAACCATCCAACAAGATTTTGGTTTAATTATAACTCCACAAGGATATTTTGAGAGCCACCACTAGGTAATTGTGTGTTTTCAACTATATGGTGGCCAGTAATTTCTTGACTCTAGTTCAGTGTTTGATGCCGCACTGTATCAGCAGTGATTTGCTGACCTTTCAGCAAACCTTAGGAAATTAATGCAAAAAACAATAGGAAACAAATGGATTTTAAGATGATGGAGCAGGTTCAAACCTCTCCGCAAAAGGGGCCAATGTTTTTGTACCCAATGGTATTTCAACATGAAAACAATTTTTCCTATCATTCTGAAATTATATTAAATTATTACAAAAAAAATTGAACAAACAAAATAAAACCAACCTGGCAACTTCCCAATAATGCAGTTAATCTAAAATTACACAAATATAGCAAACAAAATACACCATCAGAAATATATCAACAAGTTTTCAACGAAACAGAAACGAAATTTAAAAACCACAATTTCATCCATACTGACGGATCCCAACAAAATTCAATTACGACATACGCAATTACCACGGAAACTAAAATCTTAGCCTACCTCCATACTCATCTATTCAATCAGCGGAAATCATAGGAATCTTAGAAGCAACAAAAATAATTTCAAAAATGAATGGAAAATTCGTCATCTGCTCAGACTCACTAGGTGCAATCCAAGCAATCAAAAACCCACAAAACAACAATCTTTACCCTACTCTAATCCGATCAACAATCAAAAAACATTACCCAAAAATTAAAGTTTAATGGACCCTTGGACACAACAACATAAAAGGAAACGAAATGGCCGATAAAACAGCCAAGTCAATATTAAAATCGCCACTAGTTTACACAGAAAACCTTAACACAAAAGACATTAACAAATTCCTAAAAGAGCAACTAAACCAAGAAACACAAAGTCTTCTCACAAAATGCAACACATGGTACAAAAACATTAACACCAACAAATCACACACATCCTACCTCTCAAACATAAAACAACAACACATAAACCGACAGGACCAAATTAAATTCACCCGATTGAGATTGGGCCACACCAACATTACCCACAAACACTATATGGACACAGTGCCGGATTAGCCATATAGCAGGAGTAGCAAATGCTACGGCCCCCGCGCATTGGGGGGGCCCCGCGCGGCCGCGCTCCAACTCCTACCTATCTGATCGTAAAAAAAAAAAAATTTAGATAGGAACCTAAAAATAATTTGCATGACTTAAGCGTGAAGCGCTTAGGCTATGCTTTACTCCCATCTGAAAATATAAAACTCGATTTCGTCACGTTATATTTTATCTGAAATTAAACCACATTTCTACCCTTCAAGCGGCCAGATTTTCATTTTTTTATATAGGTATACATTTATTTTGCGAGTTTACGTAGCCGAGATTGTACTTTTTTATCGATTTTAATATAATATAGATTATCAGTATTTCGAGAAAAAGTAGGCAAACTATTTAAATTTTATTGACTTGTTTGACAACGTTTCGAAGTTTAGGTGTTTATTGTTGAAGTGCTGGGGCGTCCTTCTTGAAGGCAGCAAAACTCCGGTGGTCAGCGACGGCTGGCGGGGTTAAGCTGTGGGGGTGAGAAAAAACACTCGACGATCGCGGCAAAGAAAAAAAGACTTGGAATTCGGTAATTGCGCGGACCGGCCGGGCGTTTATTCAAACGGTGACGATTTTGGAACTAATTTAAGCTAAGCTAAGCTAGGCGCTTGGAGGCGCAGCGGAGACTTCTCGCGCTCGGGGAGTGGAGAGCCTGGACGGCCGAGCGCGACATGCTCCAAGCTTCGGGAGAGGGAGAGTGCGGTGTGGGGAGAAGCTCCGGGAGAGGGAGAGCGGGAGAGGCCTGAACATTCCGCCCCCCTTGCAACCGCTGGCGTTGCAACATAATTAGCCCTGGTTGCAGGCGCCGGACAGGATCCAGCCGAAGATGGTCTTCTGGGCCACCGGCAATCCCTCGGCGACCAGGTGGAATCCTGGTTGGATGACCTTGGCGTAGACATCCGCACCCAGGACCATGGAAATCGACGCCGGCAGATAGAACCGCTTGTCGGCCAGCGGAAGGTCCTTGTAGCGGCCGACGACAGACTCGTCGATCGCTCGGATGGGGGTGCGGACGCCGACGCCGGGTTCGATCTTTAGGACGACATCCAACGCAGCTCCCTCGACGACCTTCGATCGGAGTATCGCCGTGCACACCCTTTCCTTTCCGACATTGGTGGTCGGCAGACGAAGGCTGGACGCCAGGGTGGCGTCGATGCAGCTTTGAGGCGAGCAGGGGTCTATGAGAGCCACGGTGTCCACGATCTTCGGACCCGCCTCCAGGGTGACCAAAGCCGTCGGAAGGACGTTGACGACGTGGTGTTGAAGGAGGGTTGCCAGCGTCGGAGCAGCGCGCGCTGCGCGAGTCGAGGGCTCTGGTGTCGAGGATGCTGAGCGCGGTGGAGAAGCAAGCGCTCTGCGCGTTGGCGGATCTTGCCGGCGCGAACACTGCTGAGAAGCGGAGCCCCTTTTGGAAGGCTTGGAAGGCTCGGTGATGTGGAGCAGCGTGTGATGCTCCTCATCGCACGTTCTGCACCGGTCACCGCTACGGCAGTCCCCTTGCGAATGCTCGTGGGCAAGGCAATTTGCGCAGTACTTATTAACCAGAACTGCCCGTAGCCGCTTCTCCGCGCTCAGCTTGAGGAACCTCTGGCACCTCTTTAGAGGGTGGATCCCCCGGCAGACTCGGCACCGGTAGGACTGCGTGCCTCGAGTCCGCCTGCTCTCCAACACTTGAGCGTTCTGCTTACGCGGAGCCATTGTCTACGGATGTCGGCGTTGGATCATGAAAAAGAAAAAAAACACAGGAAGATGTTTTATACTGGAAAGATTCGGGCCTTACGGACTACGGACAACGAAGTATGGATTACTGGGTAGAAGTTTGGGGAGCCTCTCCGGGAAGGAGAACAATTTTGGCTACTGGACGCCGGACAATGCCGCGCGCCGTCCGGATGTCGACTACGCGGACATTGCCATCGGCTCCAGGAAAGACGGAGTCGATTCTACCGAGTCGCCACTCATTTGAGGGCAGATTGTCGTCTTTGATGACGACCATGTCCCCGACACGCATATTCTCGGTGGGACACTTCCACTTGTTGCGCTTGTGGAGCTCTTTCAGGTATTCATCCTTCCATCGAGCGCGGAATTGCTGATGGAGCGCTTTCAAGTGTTGCCACCTGTTTAATATTGTCTTAGATTCTCCCTTTACTTCGGGCTCCACTATGGATAGAAGAGGGCCGCCGACAAGAAAGTGCCCTGGTGTCAACGCTAGAAGATCAGTGGGATCCTCTGACATGGGAGATAGCGGTCTGGAATTTAGACAAGCTTCAATCTTCGCTAGCAGAGTGGCAAGTTCTTCAAAGGTGTATTTCCGCGTAGCTGTGCATTTATAAAACAATGCCTTGAAGCTCTTGACACCAGCTTCCCATAGGCCTCCCATATGGGGTGCTCCTGGCGGAATGAAATGCCAGTCGAGCTGCTGATGACTATACGCATCAGTCACAGACTCTTTAACGGCCTGGAGAAAATCTCGGGACAGTAATGTGGCAGCGCCAACAAAGGTCTTCCCATTGTCCGACTGCACTTGGCGAGGACACCCTCTTCTGGATACGAACCGAGCGAATGCCGCAAGAAATTTCTCGGTCGTCAGATCTGAAGTAGGCTCCAAATGGATAGCCTTGGTGGAGAAGCAAACGAAAACCAACACATACCCTTTAGTAATAAGGCAGGCTCTGCCAGTGTAATTCTTTATGTCGAAGGGCCCTGCGTAGTCCATACCCGTGTACGTGAATGGGCGGGAGAATGACACTCGTTCTCTTGGCAAATTTCCCATCATCTGACTTTGCAATCGCTTTTTGTAGATCACGCAGACCTTGCAGGCATTGATAACTGCCTTCACCAAGTTTTTAACTCTCGGAACCCAATATCTGGAACGGGTGAGACGTACCACCAACTGATTACCCCCGTGTAGCGTAATGAGATGGGTGAACTTTACCAGAAGCCGAGAGAGTGAACATTCGTACGGGAGGATTATCGGGTGTCGTTCATCGTAACGCAAACTTTCAGAGGCTGTGACACGGCCACATGCCCTTATCAGCCCCTCCTGATCTAGGAAAGGGTTCAAGGAGAGGATCGAACTGGAAGGGGGCACCGGAAGCTTCTGACTCAAGCAGCGATACTCGTTCATTAAATACCTGCGCTGAGTGCAGAGAATCATGAGCCGTTCGGCGGCGACAAGTTCCTTGGCCTCCAGACGGATCTCTGAAAGCGGCGATTGATTCTTGCACCGATTGATAAAACGCTGGACATACGCGAGGACCCGCAACGCTCTATCCAATTTGGAAAAACGATCAAGGAAGTCTTCGTTCGGAATATATGCTACGTGGGCTTTGACTGCTCGCTTTTCGATCTCGGTCACGGGAAGGTCGGTCCCCTGGCTAGGCCATTGGCTGCGTGGCTTTTGCAACCAAGTGGGTCCATGCCACCAGAGAGAACTACCGACAAGCTCTGGAAGGGCTACCCCTCGACTAGCCAAGTCAGCGGGATTATGTTCGGATTGAACGTGTGACCAGTTGGCTGCCTCTGTGGACTGAGTGATCTTCGTCACTCTGTTGGCAACGAAAGTAGTCCAATGGCAAGCTGGTTTTGCTAACCATGCCAACACAATGGTGGAATCGGTCCAGCAGTGGAGACTCGAATTCAGCATCGGCATGCTGGGAAGGATCGCTTCAGCCATTTCGGCTAGCAGTAAAGCTCCGCACAGCTCTAGGCGAGGAAGCGACACAGTTTTGACTGGCGCAACACGCGTCTTGGCGGTGAGCAGGTGTACCATCGTGGTATGTCCCATCTCTACGCGCACGTAGATCGCAGCGCCGTAGGCTTTCTGCGAGGCATCACAAAATCCATGATGCTCTAAGCGGAATTCTGGGCGAAAGGAAACCCATCTTGGAATCCGAACCTGATCAAGGACCGAATAGCTCTGAAGAAAACTGTGCCACCTTTGGCACAACTCAGATGGCAGCTTATCGTCCCACCCCAGCTCCTGAAGCCAAATCTCTTGCATAAAGATCTTGGCACACACAACAAATGGAGCGAGCCAGCCTGCTGGATCAAACAGTTTGGCAATTTGGGAAAGCACCTGGCGTTTTGTGGGGGAGATTTCTGTGGGTAGATCTGGGGGGACGAAGAAAAACTCATCGGACGTCGCTCTCCATCGTACACCGAGAGTCTTGGCTGTACTTTCAGTGTCGAGATCAAGGAAATCGCTGTTCAGAAGATGACCGGCTTGGATATGAGCTAACACCTCTTTGTTGTTGGACGTCCATTTTCTTAACGGAAAGCCCGCGGAGTCTAGGGCACTCTGTAACTCCTTTATTGTGAGCTGAGCATCTTCAGCAGAGTCAGCTCCCGAAAGGACATCGTCTCCGTACATTGCATTACGAATGACTTTGCTCGCTCTTGGATGGCTGAGCTGCACGTCAGTCGCCAGCTGTTGTAGGACTCGTATCGCCAGGAAGGGCGCACAATTAATCCCGAAAGTTACCGTCTTTAACTCAAAATCTCAAATGTACCCCTCGCTGTTTCGGAATAAAATGCGTTGGAACGGGATATGCTTCGGGTCTACCCAGATCTGTCGATACATTTTCTCGATATCGGCACTGTAAACGTATCAGAAATATCGCCACTTCAGAATTTGAATGGTCAGATCGGACTGTAAGACCGGGCCTGCATGAAGGATATCATTTAGACTGACCCCATTGTCTGAAGGGCTGGAGGCATTGAACACCACACGAAGCTTGGTGGTCGTACTTTCCGGCTTGAGCACGGCATGATGCGGAAGATAATAACTCGCAGAATCATGGGTAGGAAAGACCTCTTTCATGTGGTTGAGATCGAGATATTCTTGAATGACGGTATCGTACTTAATTTTCTGTTGGCTGTCCCTTTTTAAACGCTGCTCGTTTCTTAAGAATTGAGCCAACGCGAAGGATCTGGAGTGTCCCAGGGCGGACTTTACGTTCTCTGGATCACGGAATGGAAGGTGTACGATATATTTTCCACTAAAGTCTCTCGTGGTTGTCCGGAGGAAATTTTCCTCACAAGCCAAATCGGAATCTTTTGCCATTTTTATTGGCAAATCCTCCACCTCCCAAAACTTGGTGAGAAGTTGATCCAGGTTTGAATCAAATATATGGGAGATTCGAGTGGAGAAAGCGGAAATTTGCTCTTGCCTAGCAGCTGGTATTGGTCCGGTAAGGATCCAACCGAATATGGTCTCTTGACCAAGAAGAGAGCCACAGACGTTTGCTCGGGTGCCGCTTAGGAGTATGGAAGGCAGCAGATCAGCCCCGATTAACACGTCTATTTGTGCACTCTCATAGAATTTCGGGTCTGCCAAAGAAAATTCGGGAAGTTCCCGTAGGAAATGCTGCGGAATTGAGCAGGACGGAAGTTGACCAGCTAATTGCGGAAGGACATACGCCGTCGCGTCTAGTTGCAGGCCAGGCCTGGTCGGAGATCGAATTGAAAATTGGCAAAGCTTTTTGGACTCTGCTGCCAGTGTTTGGCTTAAGCCGGAGACTTGGGCTCGAATGATCTGATGAGGCAACTTAATCAAGTTGAACAGCCGCTCGGTCATGAATGTTGCCTCCGATCCAGAGTCGATCAAGGCACGAGCCTTGAAGGTTGATCCCAAATGGCAAACGTCAATAATGGCGGTGCCCAGCAAGACGGATCTATGACCCGTGGCAAGATAATTTTGCACCGTGGAGGTTGCGGCAGTGGTAGTCGCTGGAGCGGTCGTAGTTGGTCTTGACCTGGGCGAAGAAGTTGGAGTCGAGAGCGTTGGAGACGCGTTACCTCGATGGAGAAGCGTGTGATGGCGGCCGCGGCACGTGAAGCAACTATGAGTGCTGTCACAGTCCCGTAGCTGATGTCCTCGTGCAAAGCAGTTCAGACACAGCTTTTTGCCTTTGATATACGCGGACCGCTCATCGACAGACATCCGGAGAAACCGTGCGCATGTCCGCACTGGATGGTTTTCTCGATTGCACAAGTCGCACCCTCTACCTCTGGGTACTACTCTTGCTTCAAAGGAGTGGATTCTGCATGCCGTGGAATTAGAGGCTGCCGCTCTGGGCTGAGGCTGACTAGAGCCTGACGGACGGACATCATCTATGGCCTCTAGTGTCCTGTGACGCTCAGTGAGGAAGTTATTTAACTCCTGCCACGTGGGAACATCGACCTTGTTGTGGAGCGACTGCTCCCAGAGGGAAAGTGTCAACTTTGGAAGTTTGGCGGAGACCATATAAACTAATAGGCAATCCCAATTGTCGGTGCTAATATCGCTCGTTTCTAAAGCGGTAAGGCAACTCTGGATGGTGTCTTGAAGCTCTCGCAAAGCTGGCCCAGATTCCTGAGTGATGGACTGCACATTGAACAGTATTTTCAAATGACTGTTTACTAACAACCGTTTGTTTTCGAAACGCTTAGTTAGGTTATCCCAGGCTGAGCGAAAACCATCGTTAGTTAAAGGCGACTTTGCCACAATTGTGTGTGCTTCGCCACTCGTTTTGGAATTCAGGTGGAACAATTTCTCGACCGGCGTCAATCGTGGATTGTTAATATAGATCGCCGTGAAAAGGTCCCTAAACGTCGGCCAGCGAAGATAATCGCCGGTGAAGACCTCGGTATCACACGGAGGTAGCCGACAACCTGAAGGAACGTAGGTCTGGGACGGATCAGCTTGTGTTTGGGGGGTTCGTGGAGCTTGCGCAATAAGATCCTCTATATTCGCACCACACCTTTCGTAGACGCCGTAGCAATAATTATATTTCGCTCGGAGAATTGGCAAGCTGTCAGCTGCACTGTCTCCGGCTGAAATCAGGCGTACATTGCACTCATCGTACTTTTTTTTGATGCGCTCCCACAATGCGCGGACCTCTTCGCGTCGGATGTTTAGCATGGACATGCTCGGGGGAGTCGGCGACGGAGTGTTGCATCTCGCTTCGAATTCACTGAGTCGATCTGAAACCTCAATGAATTGATTCAGCGCAAGATCGGACGCAGCTAGAGCCATTTTTGTCTCGGAACGAGTGAGCCTTGCTTGGGGAGAGGGAGTCTTACTGGAAGGTTTAGGTGTGGGCGGCTTGACAACAATTTTCGGAGTTTTTGTTGGTGGAATGGGAGATTTTTTATTCCCACCTTCACTGGACATGCCAAAAAACGAACCCTCGGTTGGAAAACGAGTGTGCTGGTCGTGAGAAACAAATTTTAGACCTTTGTTGCTGGAATTGCACTCTTGAAAAAATTTGTATTTAGCTGACTTGTGGAATTTGTCTCGCTAATGTTATTAAGAATATTATAATTAGTATATTTATAATTCGGATATGTGATTATTATTTTGTGTGGTATTTATTTACTTTATTTTAGAAAATAATACCAACTGTGGTAAAAACAAAAAAAAAAACCAAAACGGGTAGTTTATTCGAAGAATGGAAGTTAATTATTTATCCAAAATAATTTATTTGCAAATATTTAATTTCTGAGCTATCAACAAACGGTGTGCCGTACGGAGTGACGTTCACACTTAAATTTTTTGGAACCAGACAAAGAAATAAATTTTTTTTTAAATTATTGTATGTTGCTGGACAAAAAAAAAACAAATCAAATAATAAAAAAATAATTTCCAATTATTTTGGTATTTTTAATTTTAATTTGACTGGAATATTAATTATGTGTTGTTATTGGAGTTGGAATTTATTTATTGCAGCTCAGAAATAATTTATTTTGTCTTTGGAAAAATTTTATATGTTTAAGACCTTGCACTGGATGTCGTGCAACGGCTCCCTAATGGGTATGGGTGTATATGTGTATATTGGTATGCTGGATTTGGATATAAGTGTATATATGTATATATGTGCGTTTGTGCAGTTCGCGCTCACGCCAAAAAAAATGTTAGAAATAAAACACACTGCAACCAACAAAGTTTTCCGAGTCGGTGGTGGATTGTAATTATTTATTTTATGCTACACGGAGGCCGACGGAAAACTTTTAATGTTGGTATATTTTCGCTGTAGGAAGTAGAAAATATGTATGATGTATATGGAATATATTTGGATAATTATGTATGTATGTATTTTTATTTTTGGCGGAAAATTTATTAAAAAATATTGCCGGCGGGTATGTGTTGAGCTTTCGATTTTAATTAAGTGGACTGTATTGCAAGAAAAGGTGTGCAAAATATTTAGCGTAGGACTGCAGTGAAAAAAAAACACTTTGAAAATGGGGGCCCTTTATCGGCAGAACACTTGGAATTTTTTCACAGAAATTATTTCTTCACTGTTCACTTCGAATATTTTGCACACTTTACACTTGTCGTTAAATTTTGGATTTTTCACTTTTATTCAATTTCGGAATTTGCACTTTTTATTAAAGTTTGCAATTTTAGCTCTTTATTAAAGTTTTGGAATTTTGCTCATTTGATGTATGTATACTTGTATGTACATACATATGTGTACGGTTTCACTTTGATGTACGGGCCAAAGAGGAATTGGAGGAATATGGCGGCACGATCAAAGAAAAACGGAAAATGGAAGAGATCTTAATAATTGCCGTTTTCGGATTAAATCGGACTTGGATTTTTAGAAAAAATCATGCAGAAAGTCAAACGAAACAGTGTTTTCGAGTGGCTGACTGCAGACCGGCAAATTAATATATGTAGATCTTCGTACTTATCTTGAGCAATTTCGGGCGCTGATCGAATCCGGCTCGAAGGACCAAAAAATGAAGTGCTGGGGCGTCCTTCTTGAAGGCAGCAAAACTCCGGTGGTCAGCGACGGCTGGCGGGGTTAAGCTGTGGGGGTGAGAAAAAACACTCGACGATCGCGGCAAAGAAAAAAGACTTGGAATTCGGTAATTGCGCGGACCGGCCGGGCGTTTATTCAAACGGTGACGATTTTGGAACTAATTTAAGCTAAGCTAAGCTAAGCTAGGCGCTTGGAGGCGCAGCGGAGACTTCTCGCGCTCGGGGAGTGGAGAGCCTGGACGGCCGAGCGCGACATGCTCCAAGCTTCGGGAGAGGGAGAGTGCGGTGTGGGGAGAAGCTCCGGGAGAGGGAGAGCGGGAGAGGCCTGAACAATTGTCATTATCAGGGCTAACAGAGTTATGTTTTTAAATGAAAAAATATTTATTTCCATATTTTCGCCTTTTTTCCTATAAATCCATATTTTACACAATCACTTGAATAAATCCATATTTTGAGCATTAAAGTGTCTGAAAACCTATAGAAAGATATGTTTGGCTCAAATATTATGAAATTTCTGTCGTTTGCCTTATACTCGATAATAAATAATGTAAACAAAACATCGTTGCGTCGTTAATCAATCAAAATATGTATCATCGAATGTAACAATTATGATGCAGTTTATATTTTAAGATTCAGTTTTTATTCCATATTTCATGATTTCAGTTCTTATGTCTCTTAAATTCTAGTGTTGTAAAGTTATTGATTAATTCTATATCTCATTGATAGTTCTACAGAAGGTGACGATCTTATCCTGAATTTATAACCTGCTGAACTGAATGCATATGCAAATGCTCCTGTTACATCTTGCGATGCTGAGCATTCTTTTCTTCATAGAAACACATATTGAGTGACAAACGCCGTAGTTTTGTTTTTACTAATCTGACACAACATGTCATATTTTGCTGCAATGATCTTTGAGACAAACGGCGCACTTTTGTTTGTAGCGATTTCTAATTGTTCATTGTCATAAAAAGTTAATATGATCGATATAATCGTCTACGTTTATCCATTTTTATACCTAAATTTATCCCTTTTTCGTCTATACTACCTATTATCCATTTTATTCTATATTTGTCAACTTTTTCGTACATATTTCGTCCATATTTCTCTATTTTTTTGTCCATAAATCCATACATATTTTTACGTTTTTAAGAACATAACTCTGTTAGCCCTGGTCATTATTGATAACGTACTGTCTGCTTTAACTAAAAGTATTTCGACAGCTAAAATCTCTTACAACAGAAGAGATTTTGGAAAAATCCTCAAGTATGGTCAGTGCTTACAAAGATGATTTGGAGAACAGCCTAGGTGGCGAATTAGTGCAGTTCGCAGAGCTGCTGAAAACAGAGGTGGCTACTGTTATTGACAGCACGAAACAGGAGCCTCTGGAACAGCAATTTTATAAACTTTTATTAAATAATTCGTTAGAATCGTGTTTCCCAAACTTAGAAATTGCCTTGCGCATTTACTTGTCTCTCATGATCACTTTTTCAACATTAAAACGTATTAAAAATGAATTAAGGAACACGATGGGCCAAGAACGTCTTAATCATCTCACTTTGTTGAATATAGAGCATGATTTGCTTAAAAAAGTCGATATTGAAAGTGTTATCTCTAAATTTGCCCATATTAAATCCAGAAAAGTGTATTTGTAACAATTTTGTTTTATTTAATACCCTAAACTTGAGAACCTAAAGCAAAGCAAGGGCCCCTTGACAGAATTTGCTACAGGCCCCGCGCTAGCTTAATCCGGCAGGCTCCGGTTTTCACTTTTTTTTTTCGTTTTCGTTTTTGGGCGAAAACGTACGTTTTCGTTTTAGGTGCTCCGGTTTTCACAAACTTTTTGTCATCGTTTCATTATCGGAACGGTTCATTTTTTCATCGTTCCTCACTGTTCAAACAACTGAAATTAATCATATTTATTTATAAAAGCTTATTTAACTTTTCTTTAAAAATATTTTAGCTTCGTTTTCATTTTATAAGAATTTTTAAGTGGTTGTTTTGTTCCACTACAAGTACGGCAGCATTGACGATAACTTTTGGCAGTAGATTTATCGGCCCCTCAGCAAAACGAAAGTTGTTGTTGCCGACGGCAAATATTTTATGTATGAAATCAAGATGGGGTCAGAAAATAATTATTTAAAAAATAAATACGAATTAGATTGACCTACTGATGATGTGAAATGAACATCAATAGACCAAGGAGTCAACTATTTTTTTTCTTTTGCAATTAAGAACCGATTTAAAGTAGAAAAAGGCATTTACTTTTCATTTCGACAAAAAAAACTTGCCCGTTTTTGAAAACGAAAAAATCTTGTGATAGTGAAAACGGGAGCACCAATTTTCGTTTTTGAAAACGAAAACGAGAGAATCTTGTGAAAGTGAAAACCGGAGCCTGCCTGTATATCAGGCTATAAAATACAATTTTATGTTCCTAGATGACGCGGTAATAGAATGTCTCATAACCCCCCGAGAACGTTCTCACGACCCCCCAATAGCTTTATTTTAAATATGGCTACTGCTTTACGGACGCATTAAATGTTTATGCAAAATTTGTTCCGTGTGTCAAAAGGCTACTCACCAAGGAATGTTTCAGATGTATGCAAACAAAGCGAAAAGACAGCAAACACGAACGGTCTACAAAACTTTCGATCACAAAATTGGAGTTGCGATTTGGGAAGACATAGGGAATCGGCATGAACGGAATATTTGTGATGTGGATATGAAGATTGGAAACAAGCAAGATGTTTCGCAGTCAGCTGGTAGATGTCACGCTTTTTAGTTCCGGGCTGTAAGCGCGTCTCACGACCCCCCGGTCTCCCCTACAGACAGTCGATGGCCTCAGCAGCTAGTACTGCAACTTTCATTAGTTAGTTTTAGTTTTATAAGCTATTCTAACTACAATATAAACAAATATTAAATTATTTATTAAAAGCGCACCATAACTAAAATTTAATTTTCACAAATATTTTTTATATACTACAATTTTTTAGACATTTTTTTATATAATACATCACATGTATATTAACTTTTAAATATTAATAAAAGTTGTTTTAATTGAAGACCCTAAGTTCATAAAGATAAACGGTCTAAGATTTTAATAAAATTAATTAATATGTGAGAATACCACAGAGTCGTAAAGCCCTAAAGTTTAAAGAACATCATGCGCTTGGTCGAAATAAGTAAAAGATGATTATTCATCCAAAATCTTACTATCAGCCAAAAAGCTTAAGGCTTACCTTCAGCTAACTTAAAAAAAACACCAATATATTTTAGTTTTTTCTACGTTTCTCGCTTATTAACGTTATTGTTGTTGGAAGGAAAACAAAATATCTTTAAAATGCAATTATTAAGTACTGGCTATACGAGCAATATGTATGTATTCAATCAACCAATAAAATGCAGATATTAATCGTTGGGTTTCATTTATAGTTAGGAACGCTTATATTAAAGGGCGAAACCTGGGAACAGGAGTTTAACACTGCACAGTATTGTGCACCATCTGGCATAAGATGAGGTTGTGTGCGAATATGTTATAAGTTTTGCGAGTAAATGTTCTTTTTCTTCGTTCCACTATATATTTTATATATTTTGTACTAATCTAGTTAAATTTTGTTTGGCTTTTAAAGACAGGAAATTCGGTTGGTCGATCATTATATTTACATTTTGAGGACGTATTTCTTTTTAAACATACAATTTTTATTTGTGTAAATTCGTTGTGCGTTGGTTTAAAACTATATCATTATTAACAAATAATAATGTCTGAACTTCAGTCATCTTTACTGTTAAAAAAGCAATTGGCAGGTAAGTTAAACTTCATGCTCGTATATATAATACATATGTATATAAGTATATTTATTTAAAATGAATTAAATATCTATATTACTTATTATATTTTTAGTCACTTGCTTATCAAATTATTGTGAATCATTGTAAAAACCAAAATGCTTTAGGATCCCCTTTCTAAATGCCTTCACTTGTTTATATATATGTACAATTTATGTTCACACATACATATGTTCTCAAATGTATGTCTATTTAGCAACTTCAACCAGAAGTTTGTTGAAAAATTTAATGTATGTGGATATTTCCCGTGAAGAATTTTGTTGACATAGATAAAAACATTCATTCTACAGTTGTAATCAAACTAACGTGGCGTTTTTTAAGACTTACAATTTTAACTTACAGTCTCTGTGTGTGATTAATTCATTTTATTTTGACGTTTGCGTTGCGCAATGGCATAAGTTCAGTAAAACGTGCTCACAAGACACACTAGCTAGGAATTTGTACTAACAAATTTTAACCGCAGTTCAACAGTACTTATCGATCAATAACAAATAAGGTGTTTCAGTGGTAGTATAATCCAAATGAATTATTCTACTACAATTTGTGTTTGATTAAGTTCAATCACCTGCATTACTAATATCGTTCTCTTACAAACTGTTACATGTATATACATATGTACATATGTATGTACAGTATATCACATTAATATTCGGTTTTTTATTTTGCAACTTTAAACGCGAATAAAATGTATAATACTACAAAAAGTCGAAATTTGAAAAATGGTATATTAAAGTTTGTAATATTAGCCTTAGGTAGTTATATATATGTTAGGACTTTATTAAAAATTAAAAGAAGAATCACAGCTAAAAGAAAAAAAGCTTATAAATGGCATTACTCTAATATTCGGTATTTATTGTAAGTCTTATGTTAAAGCTATGTGGCAACTGCAGAGCCAGAAGTTCCGCCGAAAATGGGTTTTCCCGAGCATTATACATATGGCTGGTATTTATTTCCTACGATCAAACCAAAAAAAAACTACTACCAGCAGCGATTTTCAAGATGGGACGCAAAGTTAAAAATGCATCCTTGGAGCAGCGAAAACTTGTCCCCCAGCCACACTTAGAGGGCAAGACCTACAAAGAACCTGCGGAAATGTTCGAAATGAAGCCCAATACAGTTGGTAACATCGTCCGACGCTTCAAAAATAAAGGGCGAGTGGCCTTATTATGCAAAAAGGATAACCAAAAAAATTAACGTATCGGGAAGAAGCCGAAATAGTTCGACAAGTGAAAAAAAAAATCTTCGACTTAGTGCTTCAGAATTGTCAACTGAACTCTTTGCCGATCACGGGAAGGCAGTTTCAGCGCAAACGTTTCAGCGTACTTAAAAAAATACATGGGTACAACGGCAGAATCGGTCGAAAAAAAACCTTTGATATCTGGGCGCAACCGAAAGTTGAGGAAAAACTTTGCCCAGGAGTACTCTAAAAAGGACCAAAACTGGTGGGACGAGGCCATATTTCTAGACGAGAGCAAATTCAATCTTTTCGGGAGTTACGGCAAGACCATGGTTTGGCGGAAGCCCAATACAGAGCTGCACAAAAATCACCTAAGGCCAGCAGTGAAACACGGCGGTGGGAGTGTGATGGTTTGGGGCTGCATTTCCACGAAAGGAGTGGGTTACTTGGTGTTTATTGATGACATCATGAATCAAGATCAGTATTCAAAAATTTTAAAAGAAAATTTTAAGGAGTCGGCGGAGAAAATGGCTATTGGAAACACATTCAAATAAAATCAGGACAATGACCCAAAGCACAAAGCCCTTAAAGAGAAGTCCTGGTTGCTTTAAAACTGTCCAAAGGTCTTTGAAACGCCGCTCCCATCACCTGATCTCAATCCCATTGAAAAATTTGGAAGTGAATTGGACCGCCGTGTACACCAAACGCCGATATCTTCTTTAGCGGACTAAAAAAAAACGGCTTCAGAAGAGTGGGCGAAAATTGGCGGTGAATACACCAAAACAATTTATTTAAATATGCCAAAACGTTTAAGCGATATCATTAAATATAATGGGTATCACACCTAATATTAAAATAAATTTAATTTTTAGATAAAATAGTTTTTTCTTAGTTCTATAGGAAATACCGAATATTAATGTAACCTGAATTTTGAGTTGTTTTTTGTTTAATTTTATTTTTAATTTGTATTATTTTTTTATTGTATGTGTATCTATGAATAGATAATAAAAAAAGCTTTCGTTTTCCATTAAAATTTTTAATCTTTTTCTTTGCATTTGAAATTGAGAAAATGAAAAACCGAATATTAATGTGATACACTGTATGTAAGAATGTTCATTATTTGGTCTGAAGTTTGCAACGTAGTGAAGGAGACACTTCCGACCCCATATAGCAAATACATATATTCTCGATCAGCATCACGTCTGAGTCGATTTAGACATCGACGTCTGTCTGTTTCTAACTGAACAAGTTTTTCATTTTTAAAGAGAATTGGCTGAAACTTTGCCAAATGTCTTGTAGCTATTGCAGGTACATCGTAGGAAAGCTCCAGAAAGTAATGAGAAGAAAATTATAACGGTGGCATAATATTTCTTCTAGTATATGTCCGAACTTCCTAGGTTCGACAACTTTAATAGGAAAGATAACAAAAATAACGAAAAGAAAATCATAACTATGGTGCAATATTTCTTCCATTGATATTTATACCCTTGCAGAGCAAAGGGTATTATAGCTTCAGTCAGATTTTTGCAACGCAGTGAAGGAGGCACCTCAGACCCCATAAAGTATATATATTCTTGATCAGATCACGATCTGAATCGAATAACGTTTGTACATTTGTCCGTCAGTTTCTGTTCTATGTTTCTATGTAAATTAGTCTCTCTATTTTATAGCTATCTTCATTAAACTACCAAAAGTTGTGTAGTTATTGCACGCAGTATATAAGTCAGAACGGGCCGGATCGGGCAGCCATATCGAAAAGCTTACATACGAGCGATTACAAAAAATATTAACACTCGGTTGTTTTTGATCATATCCACCTGATTTCTTCCAGATGGTGTTTTTAACTATTATCGCATTTCGTATTAAAATTTATCAAAACGGATGACTATATCATATAGCTGTCATAGGAAAGAGAGAAATACATATATATATATTAGGTTGTCAAAAAAGTCTTGCGGTATTTTTATTGAATTTTCAATTGTTCATAAAATTGGTTACAATAATGCGATTCAAGTCAAATATGCGCCGTTTTGTTCGATGACGCGTTCCCAACGAGATGCCAACTTCATAATGCCCCTCTCATAGAAGCTCGCTTCCCTATTGACAAAAAACTCGGAGAGCCAATTTTCACAGGACTCTCTTGTGGCCAACTTCAGACTACCAAGCGCGTTCGCCATGGACAGAAACAGGTGGTAATCACTTGGTGCGAGATCCGGACTATACGGTGGATGCAAAAGAACCTCTCATCCGAGCTCCCGGAGCTTCTGGCGCGTCACTAAAGATATGTGTGGCCTGGCGTTGTCCTGGTGGAAAACAATTCGGCCTCTGTTGATCAAAGATGGCCTCTTCTGCATGAGTGCTCTTTTCAAGCGGTCCAGTTGTTGGCAGTACAGGTCCGAATTGAGCGTTTGGCCATAGGGGAGCAGCTCATAGTGGATTATTCCCTGCCAACCCCACCAAACACACAGAAGAACCTTCCTGGCCGTCAATCCAGGCTTGGCCACCGTCTGGGCCGCTTCACCGCTTTTCGACCACGACCGTTTGCGCCATACGTTATCGTAAGTGACCCACTTTTCATCGCCAGTCACCATACTCTCCAAAAACGGGTCGATTTTGTTGTTATTTAGAAGCGATTCGCATGCGTCGATACGGTCAAAGATGTTTTTTCGCGTCAATTTGTGGGGTACCCACACATCGAGCTTCTTAGTGACTCCAAGCTTCTTCAAATGGTTAATAACGGTTTGATGACTCATGCCCAGCTCTTGACCGATGCTACGGCTGCTACTATGCCGGTCTCTTTCGACCTTCCGGAGCGTGGCGCATCTTCGACCACCTCTACACCAGAACGAAAACGTTGAAACCATCGTTGTGCGGTGGAAATGGAAACTGTATCGGGTCCATAAACTGCACAAATTTTATTGGCGGCTTGAGATGCACTTTTGCCTTTATCGTAGTAGTACTGTAAAATATGCCGTATTTTCTCTTTATTTTGCTCCATGATTGCGACGCTGTAACTAACGAACGACTTAAAAGAAAAGACAATCAATCAAAAAGTATACTATGACCTGATGCGACGAATAAAACAAAAACTACGCGCTTTCAGCGCCAACTAGCGAAAATACCGCAAGACTTTTTTGACAACCTAATATTATTTTTGCGGCAATAGTGCGAAGGCACAGCTGGTAATTTTTATACCCTTGCAGAGCAAAGGGTATTATAATTTCAGTCAGAAGTTTTGCAACGCAGTGAAGGAGGCACCTCAGGCCCTATAAAGTATATATATTCTTGATCAGCATCACGATCTGAATCGAAATCCGACTGTACGTCTGTCCGTCGGTCCGCTGTCTGTTTCTATGTGAAGCTATCTTGCTGAAACTTTCCAAAAAGTTGTGTAGTTATTGCACGCAGTATATAAGTCGGAACGAGCCGGATCAGCCGACTATATCGGATAGCTCCCATACGAGAGATTGAAAAAAAAAACTCTCCCTCCGTTTTTTTTATCAGATCGACTTGATTTCTTCCAGATGACGTTTTATAACTACTATTGAATTTCGGTTTAAATTTGATCGAAATCGGATGACTCTATCATATAGCTGCCATAGGAGAGATCAAAAAATATATTATATATAGAATTGATGGAAAGAAAATGATAACATCGTTATTTCTCATCAGAAAATGATTTTTGGAATATAGAGTTTTCTAACGTCTCTTGAATAACAAATAAAATTTGATCAAAATCGGACAACTATATTATATACATATCTGCCATATGAACAATAGT